TGTACTTATTGACTGAGTGGGAGACGCAGACGGGAAAATATTTGGCACGAGGTCATGACGTACGGATCGAGCGCAGTCTATCCTATGAGTTAGATCTTATCTTTTAAAGGAAGATTATTGCTTTCTGCTAGGCTCGTTGAAGAGTTATATGCATGGGTAGATTTTAAAAACTAGAAAGTTTGGCTCTATATTAAAGGCGCTAACAGTGGAAGAGAGCGCGTGAGCGCGATAACACATTGTCTTGAACAGAGTCTTTGTATTATTATAGATAGAGTTGCAAAAAGGTAATAGTAACCCAGTGTTCGTTGCCTCCCTAAGACATTTGATCTCCAGTTTTGTGTCGTTCTTCACAACTTCAAACCCAATGAAAGGGATCCCACCATTTACGAGAAGCTTTCTTGTAAAAGTTAGACTGGGATGTATGCCATTCCACGTATCAAGAAATTCGTAAGCAGCGTCGGTGTTAGGTATTGAACCTTGCAAGGGTGTCATCTATACAAATGAGGCATCATGCCGTCTCGCGCCAGCCAGTTTATCGCCATGACACATAAAGACTTTCTCCATCAAGGGGCCAAGAGGAGACCTCAAGGCCACTCTATCAGTTTGTATGCAATTTTTCTATTAAAGGCTGTTAATATTAGTTCTGAACATAAATCATATGAATGATATACACCTGTTTCCGTACTTGGTGATTCAAATAAACCGCTCTTAAGCTGTAAAGCTATGGAAGCTAGGCTAGTGGGCTGGACGACACTAATCGTTTTCCAAACCAATGAAGCAGAAGTCAGAAATGTGATGGCAGCAACGGGGTTATCGTAATTGTAGCTAATTAGTTATGTTAAGGACACTAACAGTGTTTTACAATTCCCTCCTCCCGAATGATTTTCCCGTTCGCACAGTATACAACAACCATTTCAGGCTTTCCAACTACTCCATCTTGCTCCCTCTCATAGTTTTAAGCACCAAACGGTTTCCTTTTTTTTCAACTAAAAAAAATACTACTTTTGCTTTTTTGTCTGGATTAGGACAGGTATGCATAATTTGCCATCGATTACAATTAGTCTTGAATCATAATTGTTTTGTGTATTTTTTTTCTTTTTCATTGATTGTCGAAGATGTACAAGATCCAAAGCCCGCGATTTAAAGTTTTCCATCTCTTTCTAGCCTGACACTAAAATGGAAGGTATGTCTTTTTTGGGTATATAGTTCTTTGGAAAAGTAAATAACGTGGTATTCCGTCTAACAAGCATTTCGGCCTTCGGTTTCGATGATCGGCAAACTGGTTTCCCGCTGATTGACTGCAAAAGATTCAACGCAATGAAGCTTCATTTATCAGCTTTTATTTGGAGGTTTCTAGAATCTAACCAATTACAGCCGTACAGATCTGACAAGCTCTAGTAGTAGCTCTGAAGGTCAGATAGTACTGGTGATAGTAGCATTTCCCTAGATTACTTTCTACCTTCGCGGATGCCTTTCGATAAGAATACTTACATTTCGTGTTTCCGCGCGACATGGAGACAGTTTCTAGACATGTCTCCTCGTTTGGCTAGGCCTTTAGAATAATTAAAGTCAAGGTCAAGGTCTCTATTTCTCTAAACAACATACGTGTTTAGTTACAATTTTAAGGTTCAAATCAGACAGGCGCCTCTGGCAGCCGTGTTTAGTCCGTAGCAATTTCACCTACCCACCCAACCCACCCCAGGGAGGACAT